ACTACGACTACGACTACGACTACGACTACGACTACGACTACGACTACGACTAAGACTACGACTACTACCTACTACTACTACTACTACTACTACTACTACTACTACTACTACTACTACTACTACTACTACTACTACTACCTACAACTACTACGACTACTACTAGTACTACTACTACTACTACTACTACTACTACTACTACTACTACTACTACTACTACTACTACTACTACTACTACTACTACTACCCCTACTCCTTCTTCAAGTCGCTGTTTGAGGTTTCAGGAGGGCTGCCCGACTGTTCCTCATGCACCAACGTACACCATTGAGTTTGCGCCCTCGACCCTGAGCCTTGTAGGGGCAAGGGTGGCTGATGGACCCCCCATGGCATCAGTTGTGCCAACAACAGTCCCGTGGTAGATATGCGGATCTGCTACTACAATCCACTGGTGGCAGGAAGCTACGAACGTCTCGAGGATATCAACTGTAAACTACAGACTTGGGATGTGGTGCTACTGAGCGGTACGTGCATGTGGGCGGGACCAGAGGCTGTTCAAAGGATGTACCTCCCTCAACGCGTTGTCCCCAATTCGGTGCTACGAAGGGGAAGGGGGTCAACAAAAGATGTAGGATCAGTATACTGTTAGGATATTGCTTTGCCCCCAGCTAGCCTACAGGGAAGAGTCGCAGGTGTGTGACTGACTAACAAGCAGTACGACCACGCACAATTCGTATGCTACTACGCCCCCATCTCGGTCAGATACCACGCTGACCTAGCGGAAGCCATCAGCGGACGTTAGAAAGTAAGCTGGACTCCCTAGGTCGTCGTACCACCCCAGTGGTAGGAGGGGACATCAACAGTGCCTTTGGGTGCCAGCGGGAGCACGATGGCACAGTGGTCCACACCGAGGACCCAATTGTGGGGGGGGCTCTAATCGAAACTGGAGAACCACAATGGGACCGGCTTTAGGAGCATGTGCAGTACCAGTGGAATGGCGATCGCTACTACCCACCTAGACGTTGGACCCGTCTACTACGGACACCCGGGCCGAAGCGGCAAGGTCGATCACGTAGCGATCCCGGCCGAGGCTCTGGGGCCCACTGTTCCTGGCAGGCAAACGACTCCAGAAGATCAAAGCCAAGGGCTTTCGGGGCCACCTACCGCTGGGGCTGTCCCTCCGTGTCGCCGTCGCCTCCTGCTTCCCCACTGCCGCCCCTCGCCAACAGCAGGGGATCTCCAGAGACGGCCTCATGGAGTGTCTCCGTCGAGGCTATCGGCGCGAGGAACTGATGACGGCCCTCGGTGAGGACACGGAGGCGGTGGGACGGGAGGCTTGGGAGGGGGCACTGGAAGCAGCTACCACGGGCAAGACATGGGAGCTGTTAGGAGGAGCAGCAAGCAGAGCGATGAGGATAACGCCCCCACAGAAGAAAGGATGAGACGACTACTCGACGAAACAAAACTACGCCGACTCCGACTTCTGCAACACCGTCGCGACCTTCGTTGCGAACTAGAACCCAACACCGACCCCGACCGACACGAACAACTACATAACGACTTACGACAGTTCGCGAGTGTGCTGAAGCAGGCGCGAGACAACGTCGAGGTGCAGAGGCGCGCGACGACAATCGAACGCAGATGGCCTGCGTACGAGAAGCGCACCTTTGCAGAGATGCACCGGCTTAGTACTTAGTACCAGAGGAGCGGTCGTGGCCCTCCAAAGCGTTACTGCTTGACACCACGGACCCACTGGCCCACGGCCTACCAGGTGGAAGAATTGGGAAGGCCTGCCCGAGAGGGGGGTCTGGCAACAGACGTCATCGACAGAGGACGCATGTTGGAGGAGCATGCAGACTACATTGCGCCCAGCATGGATAGAGTGTCAGTCGACGACGAGTTGAGGGCCCAAGCAGAATCAGGCAAGAGAGCGATGCTGCGGCATTGTAAGCGTTCGGGATGACATGGCCAATGCTCGAGCCTGGTGTTCACCTCGACGACCCCAGCGCGACCAGCGAGCGGCTCGAGCTACGGATGATAGCAGCAGCCGAACAGCGACGAGCACACAGAGCGCCTGGCCCACTGCTCCGCCCTACGCAAGTATAGACAGGGAAAATGGGCTGCTGCAGAAGATCCTTTGGGGAAGGCGGGAAGGCTGGGAAGGGAGTATGGAAAGGGAAAAGGTGTGAGAGAGATCATGTGGGAAAGGCGGGAGGTAGACAGGACGGGACGGAAGGAGCAGCATTGGAACAGCGTCCTTACACTGTTGGCAGGGGGAGTTGTACGGGTGTGGGCAATGCTAGGAGTGAGCGACCAGAAGCATCGATGCCAGCACTATCTCACTCAATTCCTTACCCAGTGCCGTGAGGTCCAGGTGGTCTCCTTGGACTGGCATCGCTCTCAGGCGTACGCGGCAGAAAAACAGAATTGTAAGCCAGGCATCCTAGACAAACGACTGCTGCACGTCTACGACGCGTTCAGCATATCATGGCACTCAGGTATCCACAGCCGAGGAGAAAAGATCAACCACCCACCGTGGGCCCAAGGGGGCCTCTTCCACAGATGCAAGGAAAACTCCATACTATACAGACAGAGCACACAATGGAGACGGGACCAACGATCACCACCAACTACGACGGGACCAACGCCTTTGCGGCGACACAACGGGCACTTCTCCGTACGGTGGCTTTCCGGCAGGCTGACGAAATTGACCAACAACACGCCATGGCAGCAATAGACCACTCTACATTCATGTTGGCAGCGGCGGATGGGACGATCGAGGCAGCGAGCACCAAGGGGCCCAAAATGGGCTTCACACTATGCCCTAGGAAATTGAAAGATGCCTACAACCTGTACGTCACACAGTGGCGGCGACAGGAGCGCCAGGACACTTTTCAACAGCTCACCGACACACACAACCCAGCATCATGGCAGACGCACGACTTCTCCATCAGCACGTTCATGGATGACATCACGCGCATCCAGCACATACACGAGGGGGCTGCACCGGAAGAAATCGAGCACCAGGTCAACGGCACGACGGCACGTTTGGGGACTGCGTCGGGGAAAAGGGGGCGGGGCCTAAACGACAGAAGACACACCACCTGCTGTACTTAGTCGGGGCAGGCAGCTACGGCACAACACGTACTCTACGACGTAGTCAGACTCTGAACGGGACGGCGTTGAGAGGGAGAGAGAGATGAGAGTGTCAGGCCCCTACTTCCCAGCAGACCAGGGGATCTCAGGCGAGATAGTTTGCCGCATCCAGGCCATCCGAGCAGCTTGGAGACAGTGGGGCACCTTGTGGACCAGCGGGACACCACGGCAGATGAAGCGTCTCATGTTCATGGCTTTTGCAATGTGTGCAGAACTGAGTGGCATGACAGCGCTTACGATGACACGAGCTCACACCAACGCGCTGGACAGTGTGATGGGAACATGCCTCAGGGTGCTTGCGGGGGGGGGAAGATGAGCTGGACGAGAGAGACGGCAGCATACGATGCAGCAGCCTTCGACAAGTTGTCCGATGCCGGCGTCTATAGCGCACGGCCATCTCCCTGAGGTGAGGCGACTGAGGTGGTATGAAAACTGGGCCAGACATCCGACCGAACACGGGGCAGTGGTCGCTGCATTTTACGGGACCTCCAAGCTCGACGCTCCCATGGACAATACGACTAGACGAAGGCCTCTGGATAGGCCAAGAATCGACCCCGTGGGCCCACCAGTACCCTGCCGACCTCCACGCCATCGCGGCAACAGACGACAGCATGGAATGAATGGTATGCCAGCAGATCCTCAGACCTGCCCCTTCTCCAACCAGGTACGGTGGAACACAGCTAATGGATCTCCACCGACCCTTCAGTGCTATGGAACTGGGATGTGCCGACGAGTAAGGACGAGTCGAGCGTGCCGAGCCGACGAGTAAGGAGGAGGAGGAGGAGGAGGAGGAGGAGGAGGAGGAGAAGGGGACGCGAAGCAGACCTCTTCAACCCGTACTGGTGTGACCATGTATACTGCGACGAGGAAGGGAGAGAGGTTATCTGTGGCCAACGGTTCCCTACGTATGCTGCGTTCGCTGGGTATCGCTGAGAGAAGCATCATGTTCGACCTCTGGTGGCGTCTCTTTCGTCAACAACCAGTGCCCTTGGTGTCGTAGCACGTTCGCAAACTGAAAGACTGCGATAGACCACGCGACACGTGCGGTACACTGCCATGGGATATGCCACCAGGGCCGTGCCAGGTGGGCCCACCCCGTCAGTATCCCCTCGCTGCTTGTGTGCCTTGTCTGCCAACATGAGGTTCCAAACCTAGGGGACTTGCAAGACAATGTCCGCACCCACATAGCAGGGCCAGACCAGGTCCGACCTGCGCAGAGCAAGACGGCCCATGGCGGCGTGGCGAATCATGCCGTCAAAGCGGTCGCCTCCAGGAGAACCAGGAGCATCGCAGGACGTCGAGCGCAAGAGTAAGGAGATCAAGGGCATGGTCGGCAAGGGCCAGTCGCCGTCAGCAGGAGGCGGCGGAGGGGGTCCAGGCAGCGGAGGCTGATCAGCGGACAGCGTCGAAAACGACAAGGTCCTGCAGAAACTGAGCCTCCAGAATTCAGCCGCTGTGCGCGACCTGCACCACGTGGCGACGGAATCCTGGCTGATCCCAATGGAGACCGACGCGTTCCGGGCGGCCATGAGCACAGGGCGAGAGTACGGCAACAAGGCCAAAAGAGCTCGGCAAGGGTCACTGCCCGGGCCCCCCCCACGGCCACGCGGCAGTGGCGCTGCTCGAGGGACTCGTGCAGCAGCCGACGCAGGGGGGAAAGCCCAACGAGCCAGGGAAGTCAGCCAAGGGAGCGCTGGAGGAGTTCGTGGGGCAGATCGCAGAGTCGTGAGGACCGACCTTCATGACGGAGGTCCCCCAGATGTGCAGCGTGCAGGAGACCTACAAGAAGGAGCGCACGTACCCAGGGGAGGGACGGTGCAGGCTAGCGGCGGAGCGCCGCAAAGCGGCACTCAGATGATACCGTCGAAGATACCGCCGAAGATGAATATGGAGGCGACCCCGTCGAGGCCGCAGGAGACGCCACCGAGGGCGACATTGGTGTAGAAGACTTTGATGACGCCGCAGAATGCGGCGAGGAAGAACCACCAGAGGAGGGCCGGAGCTCCAGCGAGCCAACCAACTGGTCGTCCAGGATGTTGTTGAACTGGTTGATGCACTCCTCGTCCTGGAAGCTTGCGAGTAGGGTGTCGTAGTACAGGGCCGCCGTCGATGGAGAGGAGGCGCACGACGTGGTAGGAGCCGTGCACGCCGCTGAAGAGGCCTCCTCCCTTGTTTGCTCGCAATTCTTGGTTTGGTGCATGATCTGTGCGAGGTCCTCCCGCCACTCTGCATCTCGGATGTCCAGGTCCGCGAAGGTGACGAAAGCGGACTGCTTGATCAAGCCCGTCTCCTTGACGAGTTTGGTGAACTTGTTCATGTTGTGCTTCTGTTCTTCGAACATCTGCAAGAGGACGTCATGCTTGTCACCCTGGTCCACCTCACGCCCAGGCAGTCTGTTACGGACAACACCATCGTCTTGTGGGCGCTGTACCTGAGCGGCCTCCATAGCCTCCACGCGCTGTGTCAGCACGGCCAGCTCCTTGATGTACTCCGTGCTATTCTTCTGCAAGCTCGTGACGACCATATCGGTGATCTGTATGGAGATGTCTTCTATGGTCTTCGTGAGCGTGCCGAGCAAGTCCGTGGTGAGCTGGTCTAGCGATTCGCATTTCACGTATTTCTTCATGTGCTTCTCAATGGCCTCGTCACAGTTGGCGCCCTGGTACTTCCCCTGCTCCTTGACGTAGGCGAGCTGCGGCTGTTGTGCCGCTGTGTCGTCGAGCTCCGAGTCAGTGCTGCGGTTCTGCGGCTTGTCCTTGTCATGCTTCACTGGCTGGCCCGAGGCGTGCTGCAGCTGCATGCCCCGTTGTCGCCGATCGGGTGGGTACGGGATGAAGCCCATCTCGTACGCACGTCGCCGACGCTTATGGACTTTGCTCGCAGAGCGGGCGCCTCTCCGACGAGGAGCAGTCGGAGCCGTAGAAGAGGTCGACGGCGAAGCAGAAAACGCCGCAGAAGCAGCGAGGAGCGAGCCGCCAGCACCGTGCATTGTGTAGTTCAGCACCGCGAATGCGATGAACGTGGCCACGGCGCCCAGAAGCCTCATGGCGCCATGGAGCTCCGCGCGCGCGGAGATGACCGCCCCCTCGCGACAAGGAGGAACGCTCGCGGGCGCGCGGTGCGGCTGCGAGCTGCCCAGCTCAAGAAACTTGAGCCAAAATGGCTACGGAGACCTACAAGAAGGAGGAGGAGGAGGAGAAGGAGGAGGAAGGCATGAACGAAAGAGACCGCTTTGGCAAGGTGCAGAACTCGAACAACTCGTCCCCCTGCCTGAGGTCGGCGATGCACGGCACGACCAAGATCAGCGACGATCAGTACGCGAAGATCGCGGGGTTCAAGGCAGGCCTCTTCAAGGCAGCGGTCGGCCTAGCGATCGCACACCTCGGCGGGACGAAGAGTCGGGGCTGCACTCCGAAGTCGGGTCTCGAGCGCACGGTGGAGGTCACGCTCCATCGCCTAGAAGCCAGGAACCTTGTGCAGCTGGGCACGCCTGCCCCGCAAAGAGGCGAGCCGCATCCTCTCCGACGTGGCCTCCGTCGGATCCGCCACAGTCTCGAGTGGAAAACATTGCCGACCAACTTAGTATGGATCCAGTGCGCCTGACTCGACTCCGTAGCAAAGCTCATACTCATGAGGGTTGCATGGCACAGCTACTACGTATGGCCAACCGCTACAGAACAAGGCGCACGGCTGATTACCATACCACGGACATGCGACGGGGGAAGGGGACCACCAACTATCACTGCGCTCCCCTCCCCCTCCGTTACACAACGGATCCAACCTCCCCTACCATCCCTCCCACCACCTTACCTACTACCCTCCGTCCTCCGCGTAATGCAGCATGGCGAGTGCAGGCGCACATACTACATACACGCAGCAAACGGATACACAGCACACGACAACTACACCGACACATCAGCGTACGACATACCGTGGGTAGGTGCAAGGAGCGTGGCATATAACAGGGTACAGTACAGTACACACGCCGACTACCTCGAAAGCTTGTGACTGTGAATCCACTGCGGTCCTCCCCCTTGCTCCTGAGGCACTCACGGCCAGGAAGAAAGGCCCGGGATCACGAAGGGAACGACTGCTAAGGCAACGACACAACCACATCGATAGTCTTCGTACGTAGCCATTTCCTCAGCGCAGGTCGGCTCGCAGTCGCGACCCGACCTCCCAGGAAGATGCGGACGTCAGAGAGCAGCGCCACCATGAGCACTGGACCGAGCATGTCAGGATCATCGAAGGGGCGAGCTCGCGCAGATCAAGACGAAGAGTTTCGCGAATGAGATGGAGGTACAGACAGCCAAGCTCTCCCAGGTACTGCAAGCGATGCACGTCCAGAAGCTGAAGGTCACGAAGGCCATAGCGCACACGAAGCATAATACGTTGAGCCTTGGCAATACCGCGGAGCAGAGGACCGCCAGCATCCTGACCCTCCAGTACCACGATGCGCGTATCGACATGGTCACGACGGAGCTGCAGAAGATCAAGGGCCTCCTTCTCGACGTCTACCCAACCAACCGCCCAGCCAAGATCGTCCAGCTCACGATCCAGCTAGACGAGCAGCTGATGAAGTCCGCCACGCGCATCGGCTGGGCTTGCGAGAAGAAGAACTACGAGGCTCCCGTGGGACACCAACAACAAGGCCACGTGGCGCCAGCACGGCTGGCGGCCGAAAGACCCATCAATGTGGATATCACCCACCGTGTGGAACGCGGTCGACGCCAATGGCCCCAGGACGTGGACCACACTTGGCTGGACCATCCGAGACGACGACGGAGACAGCAAGGAGAAGGAGGAGACCGAAGTGTATGAGGTGATTGAGGGCGCCGCTCCCGCGACTCGGAAGCCTGAGTGAGCTCGCCTACAGAGGAGCGGCTGCGTCTCTGCCGCTCCCTGGTCCCCTCGCCTTGTGAGCGCTCCTGGGCACGACATGGCCGCTCTACCGACCCTGCCAAGCCCTAGACGCAAGCGCGGACGGAGGAGCTGGTTGCCTCAAGTCCTCGAAATCCCGACCACGGAGTGTGCTTGTGCATCCGCAGCCCTTGGCCAGGAGAAAGTGGTGAAGAGTGTAATTAGCCACTCATGGCCCGTCTCTCTTGTCGGTGAAGAGGGGGGGTGAGCGGGGGTGAGGTGGGCAGGATCATCAGAGGCGCTCGTGCGCAGTGAAGCACAGCAGCGGATGCCCCCCTGCAGCACCCAGCGCGTCCCGAGAGGCAGGACTACCCTGCTGACGGGGCAGCGCCCCCCTCATCACCGCCATGAGGAGCGCTCGCCCCAAGCAACCCCCACGGCACACGGTTCTGGGGGGCCTGCATCCGTGCTGCCCGACGGGGCCCCACAAAGTGTCCACGACCCCCCTACGGCCGTGTCATTGTCCTTGTCCGCGTCGCCCTCCTCCTCCTCCGCCTCCTCCCCATCCTGAGACTGATGGAAGATGGAGGGGCCCTCCTCCCTATTCCTCTTCTCGATGGTCCGCCCCGTCCTCCTCCTCCTCCTCCTCCTCCTCCTCCTCCTCCTCCTGCGCCTCCTCTTCCTTCTCCTTCTCCTCCTCCTCCTCCTCCTCCTCCTCCTCCTCATCCTCCTCCTCCTCATCCTCCTCCTCATCCCCCCCCCTCTTCCTCTTCCTCCT